ACAGACAGACACGAGAGCGGTTGCATAAGCCCGCTTTAATGCCTTTTTAAAAGCAGAAGGGCGGGCTAAAAACAGTTTCTTGATTTGCAAGGACCAAGACACCGATTCAATAATGGGGTTGCGGAAAAACACGAGGAGTCCTTGAATCGGTGTCTTGCCCTTGAACATGAAGGAACTGTTTTTACCGTGTTATGCAGTAGCGCCCGCACTCGTGCGTACGGTACAGCATAACTACAGAAGGGGTTAATCAGCCACCTGGTACAGTACCGGCGCAGTACGACGTTTGCCTGCCGGACCGGAACCCTTGGCGAGGTGCACCACTGGGTGAGCGGCAGCCTCCTCGGCCGGGCGATAGCCGGGGCCGCCACGACTGGGCCGGCGGGCCTGGGTCTCCGGAGCGCCTCATTGATTGACTCAATCGGGCGGTGCTGGGTGCCGTGAGCCGAGGCTCGCGGTGGCCGCGGGAGGGGCGGCCCGGCGCCCGGCGGGGTCACAAGTCTGGCGGCTCGACCTTTCTTTTCTTGGCATTCTCTCTCTCTCACTCCAGCCCGGTCGCGTGGGCGGCAAGAGGGCAGCGCGGGGCGCACGCAGCAGTGTCGTGGGGCCGCGGCGGCACCCGCCCGCTCCCGCTGTCGCTGGAAAGAGTAGGGCGTCCTGGTGGCGCTCCTGACGCTCGCACAACCTGCCCTGGCATTGCCCCCCACCCTCCCCTGTGCGGCGCGCGCCGCGCCACTCTGGCGACTCTGGCTGCGGTCGGCTCGGCCCGGTTCACCCTAATTGGCACTATTGGCAGACCGGCCCGGCCGCCCCAGTCCCTCCCTGCTTGCGCCCTGCTCTCTGCCACTTCGTTTCCCGCCCAGTCGCAGCCCCCGTGCCTCCCTCCCCCTCCCTCTCGGGGCCGGGCCGGTGGTGCGAGCAAAGTGCTGCCGGCTGTCCGTCCCGTCCCGCTCCACTCTCGACCCTCCTCCTCCTCCTCCTCCCCGCGCGCCCCTATCGGTACGGAGCCTCCTCCCGCCCCATCGATTTGGCGGGTGTTTTCGCGGCCCTCGGCTTCAAGTCAGAGTGTCTATTACCGGTTAATTGCCGGCGCTAAATCTACCTCGTCGGGTTTGGTCGGGAGGGTACACCCCGAGCGACTTGTGCTCGGCGTACACAAACGGGTCTGGTGTTGGTAGCGAGTGCGCCTCGTTGCGCACCGACGATTAATCGGCCGGAAAGTAAAACACCAATGGCAAGGCTACGGCGCCGCTGCCTCCCCTACCTCTCTCCGCTGCTGCGCGGCGAGGAGGGGTGGCGTCCGGCCAGACCCGATGTTTACATCGTTTGCGGCTCATAGGGTAGTATTTATTGCGCGGCCACATCTGGTCCTCGAAAATCATCGGTACGACGTCACACACGACCGCTGCTCCACCGCCCCTGCCCCCGCGCGCCACCTCAATCCGCTGACTGGGTGAGACGCACATGGGCTAGGCACCGTGCTGTGCGCTCTCCCTCTCTCTCTCCCCCTCTCCCTCTCTCTCGCACGCGCGCACACACACACACACACACACACACACACACGCACACAACGCCACACAAGGTTAGGGGTCTGTCGGGGGAACGGATCAAGAGCGCATTCCTCGGCTGGCCGCCTCGGGAGCCGTCGGTGCCGGGCCTGCCGGGCCTGCCGGGCCTGCCGGGCCTGCCGGGCACGCCGAGCAACGCCTCTGGTCTTGGTTGGGGCGAGAGGGGCGGGGGGCTGTATTAAAGTGCGTGCCGAAGGAACCGCCAAATCACACAGGATGTTTTCAAGGCCCACGGCGGTGAACCGTTATAAAACTGCTCCCTCAAAGGACGGAGGTCGGAGGTATTCGGGGGAAAGGGGGGGGGGGAGAAAAACACTGAAAGGAAGTTTCTGGTTGGCGTGACGAGGACGAATGAAAACGTTACTGCGTTCGACAACTGTCGTTTTGTCGGTTCGTTTTATGAATGTGCGCCCTGCAAAGCAGCAGCCGATGATCTGGCGGGCGCCTCGTGCATGCCTCACAAGCCCCAGGAGGCGCAAAGGCCCCAGCAGCAGCAGCAGCAGCAGCAGCAGCAGCAGCAGCAGCAGCAGCAGCAGCAGCAGCAGCAGGGCGCCACGGGCTTGTTGTCGCCGTCCTTCGAAAAATACTTTCGGTTCGGGAGGGTCGCACCGACCGAATGGGCGCGGAGGGTGGGCGGAAGGGGGCGGACGAGGACTTATCTCCAAACTCGCCTGGCCGCCGGTCCCCGCCCCCCAGGTCCCCGTGCCTCCATACATTACACCCCTTGGATCCCATCCCCCCCCCCTTTCTCCTTCCGGCCGGCCGGGCCCCGTGTGCTACCAGGGGCGGCGCCAGCGACCGCAGGGGAGCGGGAGAGGTGGAGATGGGCGGGATATCGGAGCTCAACGAGATATTAGTCGATTTTAGAAAAAGTAAAAAATGGATAGGGTCTCTCTTCAACATTATTCCAAGGTTTTTTTGGTCAAAACATGGCAAAACAAATGTGATGGCTATTACCTCACGCTGACTGGAAAGTGACGAGCTGCTATCTGATATCCAAATTGACCGTTACCAACTTGGTTTACATTACCGCCATTTTCGAGAGGCAGACCATTTCGAAAGTGAACCCTATCACATAGCCTTTTTCAAGCTTTTTTCACGAGTAATCTAAAAATGCTATCCACTTTCGAATGTTGTCCACCTGAAAGGAAATATTAGCCAAAAACGGCCCAAAACCTAAACGTGATCATTGATGATCGGTGATATAGCAGCAATCATGCCATGTACACTGATATCAGCAATCATCATCAATCATTGCTGATTTGTCAGCATACAATGTACACTGTTGAGTTTTCAGATAAGCATTGAACTACTGTGGGAGCGTGTTCATACTGACCCATTTGTCGTGGAAAACAACGCGTGTTGTTCTACAACGGAGTGCTGAGGTTTGTCACGGCGTACTAAAAGCAATCCAGTTGCGTACAGGAAATTTCGCGTCGGGTGGTGAGGAAACTACTATGGGACACAAATGGGAAAGTTTTTGGGAACAGCCCGTCTCTATGGACTTATAGTTCGCAGTCAGACTACCGGTGGCTTTCATATTCAGCCATCCCTTTTACATCGTTGTTACCCTCACTCTTGTGCCCCCCCCCCCCTTTCGCTGTCAGTCGCTCTTTCACACACATTACTGAAAAATTCTCTCTGTTCTGCAGCTGCGGTGTCCCGACCCGTCAGTGCATTTCGGGACACATCAGGTTTTGTGCATGAAGCACAGCGCCACCCGTGCAAGCTGTCCTTTTTCCCAGATAGGTGGAGGTGGTGGTGGTGGTGGTGGAGGTTGGATAGGGGAGGAGGGGGGGATAGCATATACATATATATCTTACCAAGGGGGGCTACAGGCCAACTGGAGCACACATTCACTCTCCATCACACACACGGCGCGCGCTCCGCTCGTCCTATGTCACACACAGGGGCTGCATATGCAACATTGATGGCGATCAAAGGACAACCCAGATTGGGACAGGGCGCGTATTGGAGCGACGGTGGGGTTGTGACCTGCCACTGCGCTCGCTCGGTGTGTGTGTGTGTGTGAGCGCGCGCGGCGTAGAGTCACGCTCCGCGCAAACGTCGCGCACGTTTCACCGAGGCACCTCGTGACGGTGACGCGTCACATAGCCGTCCCATGACGCGTCACGTGGACCTCCGCTGTGACTCCTGGAGGGGTTGAGGTTTGGAGGGGAGTCATGACTCTACCCATGGTCCCCGCTCGCCGCACCCGCCCCCGCGTGGCCTGGCCCTGGCCAACTCGAGCGTATTTCAAAGGCAGCGACGCGACGCGATCGCTTGCGCGAGCATTGTTTATACATTTTATTTTTGTATGCAAAGAGGAGAGTCCATTTATAGTCTTCATTTCGCAATAAACCAGAGCTTGCTCCTTTTCCACCATTTAAAAAAGACCAGCAGGCGATTAAAATGGCAACCATTGTCACCACTTTTCTGGTATCTCAAAATACAATAAAAATTGTCCTTTTGCCCCTTTTTTCAGCGGAATGTGCAGTTTGAGTGAGATGTTGTAGGAGAGAGCCAAAAGAAAACCGCGTCCAATCACTGTGTTTTTTTGTGTGTCCCGATCCAGAGTGCGCGCTGTGCGAGCTCTCCTCCTCCCCCGCTCACCGAAACTCTCTCCGCATCGACCGTCGGGGGCCCGGCGAGAGCGGCGGTCCGGCCGTCGGCCGCGCGTCGCGTGAGGAGGAGCCAAATTGATTTCGAAAAGGCCGTCCAGGTAAGGATACGTCATTTCAAGGAGTCAATCAATGCCACACGGCCGGTCCTATTCTCATCCCCGACACTGGCACGCGCCGGCGCGCCTGGGCCGGTCGGTCAAAGGTCAGTTCCCTCGCGGGGGCGGCCGTCGCCCCACCGCTCCGCCGCCTCGCCGCCCCGCTGCGAGTCCTTGGCCCCGGCCCACCGCTGCCAGTATAGCCAGGTGTGGCTAGCGTACCCGGGCCGGGGGTGGCAGACACTGACAGTACGTCATCAAGGCCGCCCTTCGCCACGGCGCCGCGAAAAAAAAAGAACCCGTCGCGCCGCCGCCGCTCGGTGGCCGTGGAAATGACTGTGGTCCATACGAGCTCCCCCCGCCCCCCACCCCACCCTCCGTTTCCGCCGGGTGGTCGCCGTGGACTTGCTAATTAGATTCTGTCGCGTGAAGTGCCCCGGCTGGGCCAGCTCCGCGCCGCCCTCCCGAGGGCCGCCCTCCCCGAGCCACCCTTAACCTGAGCACCCCCGCCCCGCCCCGCCCCGCCCCC